ATTACCCCTCCTCTAGTACACTATGTGTTTAATCTCTGTCCCCTTTCAGGTGTTCCCACCTCTCTTGATTAAGTGACCATGGCTAAGGGCATCCTGTCAGCACACAAGGCCTCCCCTTGGCTCTCCAGATTTCCCCCTCACTCTCTGGTGATTCAGACACCTCTCAACTATTTAGTTGCTGCTTTGAGCTTCAGGGAATTAGACATTTGCCTTATCTCTGAGAATTCTAATCAGCTCTAGTCAGCTCCTTCATTATGTTTATATCTCTGCATTCCTAACCATCTGTCTAAAGCAGTTCATGTACAAACATGTCTTGTGAATGGTGGACCTCATTAGATACAACTTGGACTTGACATACAGTTAGGCAGAGTGTTTTAAAGCTTATTGAATCACATCAGGTGTAACTTCTGTTTACGGCAAGGAGGGGAATTCTTTCTGTGCCTGTGTGCAGCCAGTTTTCTGAGGAAAGCAGGTGGGAATTGGGGCCAAGGAGCTGTAACAGCCAGCTGTAGACGTCAGTGGAGAAGTCTGACGTAAGGAAAAGTGATGCAAGGCTCAGGGGGCTGATCAGAGAAATGAGGGGGCTGGGGAGGTGAGGAGCAAGGTTGTCCATAGAGAGCCTGGCCTCAAGGGACTGCTTTTCCTACCTGCCCATATCTGCCTAGTGACCGTCTGCATCACTATCACTTGGAGAACACTGCTATCACTTCTTCTGTAAACAAACATACAAAAATTTACAATATTACAAAAAAATACAATATTACCTTTTATCTGAAAGGCTCATCTGAACTCTTCCTCTTTAACTACTGTCCTGAAACCTCTCCAATTAGCTGCAGAAGTCTTGAAGACTTGAAGAAAATTGTGGACAGAGATAAGGCACCTGAGGGCTCTCTGCCTTTTAATGAGCCCCGTGGTGGTTTTAGTGCCGAGTGTGTGGATGTGCAAGGCTGAGAGGAGCTTGCTCAAACTGCTCAAAGAGTCAGAGTCAGCAGCAAACATTGAAGTTTCTTGGAGTATTACTGATCCCCCCTGATGGCCATTACCAACAGAGGCTCCCCATGGACTCGTTAGAGCAGGAAATTGCAGGCAGTGATGCCAGTCAAAGGCAACGTGCTGGTGGCTCTGATGCAGTGTAAAGCCTTGGTGTGTTTTATCAAGCCAAATGCCAAGCCCTGACCCCAGCCCCTCAGAAAAGAGATCCTGTCCATGGCATGAGTCTCAGGCCTCTTCCTGGGATGTGTTTCAGGGGGTGAGGCCAAGTGAGGGACAACAGTACGGCACCTCCTGTGCGAGGAGACAACGTGGCCTTGGTGCCATGAGGACAAGGTATCTCCTCGTAGGCCGTGGCGGCAGAGACATCAGCCACAGCCAGGGGCACAAAGACCTCTGTTCTGTCAGGGCCTTTCAGCCTTGCCAGTACCCTTGGCCACCTCCATGAGGGTCTGTCCTCCACTGTCCCAGGCCTGCGCCTCTTTCCCTGCGGGATGTAGACACCCAACACACTTCCTCACCGTGTTCTCACCCCCCTGGCATGTCCTTACCCTCACTGACAACTCCCCATCCCCACTGGCTGTTCCTTCAAACAGAAAATCATGGGCTAACCCAGAGTGACCTGTCGTGCCAAAGCACTACCCTTCAGGTGACTTCTCTTCCTCCTCATATCCATCTGGACATCCAAAACTGCGTTTTCCTGTAGTTTTCTTTTCTTGTGCTCCTTCCCACTACCAAAAAATCATGCAATCATCTCTGAAAGTACCCGTCAAGCTTTCTCACGATACTGCTACACTTCCCTGAGCCTCCATTTCACCAGGCCAATGAAGCCCCCCCTCCTCAGCCTTTCCACACATGGCCCCTAACCCCATCTTGGCAGACCTCCTATGGGCCCGCTCCACCCCCTCCCCACTCCTCCAGAGCAGGGAGCCCCACATGAGGACACACCATTCCAGATGTGGCCCCAGCAGTGCTGAGTCGGGGGGGTGGGGTGATAACTCCCACTGTCTGGGTGCCCACGCTCCTCCCAGTGCAGCCCAGTATGCACATGGCCATATTCACGGTTAGCACCACTGCCCCGTAGTGGCGTCCTTCGTAACGCCCAGGCCCTTCTCCTTAAGGTCGCTCCTCATCCCCTTCAGGTCCAAGCCTGCATTGATCTACAGGGTTGTTTTACCCCCTAATGCAGATGATCAGAAGATCAGAAGGAGAAGATCCCTTCTCCTTGGAAAACTTCTCGAGGTTTCTGTTGGCCAAATCCCTGAGTTTCTCAAGGTCCGCCTGGACTGATGCTCCACTGTGTCAGCTCTTGGTCTGTGCGTGCACGGGACTCACCTGACTGGTGGTGTCACTAGCAGCGTCACAGCACGGGGAATTGAAGTAAGGATATGAGAGATAATAAGGAGGAGATTCTATTTAAAGTAAATTGCATGCCAAGATAGGTATTACAGTGGTGACCATTCCAGAAATGCCAAATCAGGGTACAAAACAAGCACGGACATGCTGGAGAGAGTCCAACAAAGGGTCGTGAAGATGATGAAGGGACTGGAGCATGTCTCCTATGAGAAGGGGTTGCGAGACCTGTGACTGTCCAGCCTGGAGAGACATGTCCATTTCTGGAAAGGGGGGATGGAAAGCCCTGCTGGGCATATCTGTCCCCCTTGAATCCAGGTCCTTGTGCAAGGCTCAGGTGGTGGAGCTCGTCTGGTGCCCACATTTGTCTGAGGGATGGCTGGTCAGTGCCATTCCCAAGCAGGGAGTGAGAGATTTGGTGCCGGGACAAGTCCTGCCCAAGGCAGTTGCAGCTCACAGCTGTGGTGTCTCAAGTCACTGACCCATGGATGGGGTCTGTGAGAAATAAAAGCCCACAGATGTCAATCACCACAAGTAATGTGGCTGACATGATGCCAAGATGCCAACATGGAAATTTCCAGTCCATATAGTATGTTCAGGAGAAGAAATCCTGATCTTCCTCTGCATTGACCCTCACTAATCTTTCACATCGATCCACATGCCCTGCTTAAACTGACCCCTTCTCAACTTTCTGCAGCCTGCCAGATACTCCCCTTAGCCAAATCCTTGATTATGTTCCTACCTGTCCTTTCCCATGTATATCACTTGGGATTTTCCACTAAGGTTACTGACTGTGGGAAGTGGCTGGTGATAGGAATGGCACGGTGCGTGGGAACTGGGGAGGGGGTGGGACACGACGGACAACAGAGCTTACACACACAGTATCGTACAGAAAGGATCCTACTTTTCCCACATATTCAGACTTCATCAGGAGTCACTCTGGATCAAGAGGAATTGGGGGAGGCTGACTCTTGTTCTGGAAGCAGAAACAGACGGAAAACTGGTAAAAGCAGGTATCTTGTTCTATTGTTACTTCTTACAGAAATCTTCTGTTTGGCTACACTCCTGGAGTCTCCCAAATCAGCCACACAAGACCTGAAGAATTCAGGAGAATTATGCAGGGAGCCTTGGATTGTTAGGGCATTTTGCATGATAATGAGCTCTCTGGTGCCAAGTTCCTGAACTGCAGATACTGAGAGAATGAACCAGCTTATATTGGGCTAAAAAGACAATTATTTTTTTTTTGGGGGGGGGGTGGGGGTGTGGAGGACAGGGGGGATAGGGCAGGGGGGGACAGGAACAAAGGTGGCTTCTGTGAAAAGATGTCAGAAGCTGCCCCCATATCCATCAGAGCCAGTTCCAGCCGGCTCCAAGATGGACCCACAGCTGGCCAAACCTGAGCCCATCAATGACAGTGGTAGCACCTCTGTGATAACATCATTAAGCAAGGGGGGGGAAATGTTGTGCAATAGCAACTGGGGGATAAGAGTGAGAATATGTGAGAGGAACAACTCTGCAGCACCAAGGTCAGTGAAGAAGGAGGCGAAGGAGCTGCTCCAGGTGCCGGAGCAGAGATTCCCCTGCAGCCCATAGCGAAGACCATGGCGAGGCAGGTTGTTCCCCCACAGCCCCAAGAGGTCCACAGTGGAGCAGATACCCACCTGCAGCCCTTGGAAGACCCTATGCCAGACAAGATGAGTGTCCCCCAAACGAGACCTGTGGCAACGTGAAGAGCCCGCACCAGAGCAGGCTCCTGGCAGGACCTGTGGACCCATGGAGAGAGAGGAGCCCATGCTGGAACAGTTTTGCTGACAGGACTTGTGACCCCATGGGGACCCATGCTGGAGCAGCCTGTTCCAGAAGGTCTACAGACCATGGGAAGGAGCCCCGCTGGAGAATTTCATTCAGGACTGTCTGCCATGGGTGGGATTGCACACTGAAGCAGAGGAAGAGTGTGAGGAGGAAGGAGCAGCAAAGACAACGTGTGATGAACTGACCACAATGCCCATTCCCCATCCCCCTGTGCTGCTAAGAGAAACAATTCCCAGGATCTCAGTTTTACGTACGAGGTACGCAATGCATGCACCCAAGGGGCATTTTACACAGCAGTTCTGTATGTTCCCAGCACAGCCCCTGTGAACTTTCTGGAAAGCTGACAGTGTGCATCCCGGCCGCAAAGGCTCAGGCTGAGGAGCCAGAGAGGAACGTGGCCAGAGGAGGATGAACGAGAGCTCCTAAAGTCTGTCCAGAGGAACAGCACGGCCAAGGGACTGACAGGAGCCTTTCCACATCACCGTCACCTTCCTGAGTTTTCAGGCTGCCCCCTCCTCCCCCGGCGTGCATGTCCAGGCCCCTTACTGCACCGGAGATGAAAGCAGGGCTCCCAGGGACAGCCTTGCTTTTTGATACAGCCGACTCATTCTCAAACCAAGGGCAGGGGAGAAGCGGACCACAAAGATTCTTACGTGATGTACAGCCACTGGGGAAAGGAACCAAAAGCTTGTCTTCAGCATTTCCATGCTGCATAAGATAGCATTTTAGAAGGCGCTCAGAAACAATGTCTTTTAAAATTTTGGCTTGTAAGGCATCCACTACCATTATGAGTCTTTAACATGAACACTCTTACTGTAGAAGTTGCACAATTAATAGGGAAAGAGTTTACTTGCTCTTAGATTTTTTAATTTCCTCCTGATGCTTTAGTTTTTCGAAGAACAACTGAAAAAAATCCGAACTTTCTACATGTCTAGGAGCAACACAAACAGCACCTATGTCAGCACCTGCAGAGAGATTCCATTTCTTCTGTTATTGTTGGAAGTCACTTTCAAACATCAGAACTATGAGCAGACAATGAAAGTTCTACCTTGAGTGTGTACTCCAAGCCTGTAAGAACCAAAGGTAAATATTTTGACACCAACATTTGCTGCTGCTGAAGGGGGAAGATTCTGTGGGTAGAAGAGAAAGCGTTTACTTTAGAACAGAAGATACACATTGACCTGTGTGCAAGTTTAGGTAGCATGCAGGTTTCTTAGAAAGACTACAACAGCCTCCATAAACAGTGTCTTCTCACGCCCATACTGAGTTGTTAGTCTAACAGGTTGCTGCCGTTTTTCTGAAATGAGTGCCTGCAACTCAAAAAAAAAAAAAAAAAAACAAACCAAAACCAAACCAAATAGATGAGTAATGTAGCAGTCCTTTCATTAATTTACACAAATTAAGGACTATTATTAGTCTTCCCCACAGCAGATGCACATAAAGGAACACAATCTCTGCAAAAGGCAAGTCTGGTGTCATACTTTCAAACCAGACTGGGTGCTGCAGGCTGTTTGGGGAGAGATTAGTGCCCATTTCCCACCTAGCTCACCCCACAATACGATGTTTCAGCTGTGTTAGCTGCCAAAAGTCAACCCACAGAGCCACTTCACACATTTATTCAGTGCCCCAAAGACTTCAAGATTGTGAACGGTAGTATCTTTTATACCTTATTTCAATGGCAGTTGCTACAGCTCTACTCAATACTTAAGGAGAAAGTTAAAAGTTGAACTTTAGCATAAATCCTAGTAGTATGGCCTTTAAGAGAAATAAAAAGGCTTCAGCTGTTTTGGTAATAACATATAAAAAATCCTTACCTTGATGTCACCAAATTCTGAAATCCATTCTTGGAACAAGTTACTCAGTTTACCAAGAACCACCAGCTTGTAAAGGAAATTCATGTTGATACAGGGCCTAGATAGGAACAGGGGATGTAAGGGTTAATGTGGGAATAGCAAGAAGGGGATGAGGAGGGAAATAGTCGAGATAAGAGTTTGCCTAGCTTGTACGAGGTGTTTGTGTTGCTCGACCACTATCTCCTGTTCAAGTAAAAAGCCTCCTCCACCCCTGAGTAAGTGAAGATGTTTCTGTTGATGGACCACTATCTCCTGTTTAAGTAAAAAGCCTCCTCCACCCCTGAGTAAGCGAAGATTACCCCACAACGGCACAAACCTGCTCTGCGGGTCCAGGGGGGTGACAGAGACTGCGCAGACTCAACTGGGAGGAGATCATGGAAATGCTAATTTTAATACGAAGCGGGGATAGGTGTTGCATATGTATAGGCGTATTGCGAAATATTATGAATATGTAATCATTTGCTCTATAAATCTAAGGCAATGGTGCCACATGGGAGCACATATTTGGAGGAGTGATCCCCTATGTGCCCAGCGCTGAATAAACATACCTACTTTACAATCTACCAGATTGTGGAGTCTATTTCCGCACGTCAGTTTTGGCGAGCCAGGCAGGAGACTCTCTGCTCGACTACGGGATCGACTGCGGGGCGGACTCTCCCAGGCGCGCCCCGAGCACTTTCCTCGGAGGAGCCTCCGCTACCAGCCGCTCACCGTGGGGGGCAGACAAGGACTTCCTGAAGCCGCGGACCAAACGGTATGTTTAAGGATAGGAGCCTGTAAGTCGTACGCGTGGCTGGGGCAGCTGGTAAATCGCGCAGAGACGTCTGGCGTGCAGCTAAGCCGGGTAGGTGCACCGAAAAGGCGCGAATTCGTGCGGGTTAGGGGAGTCTAGAGGGCAATATTTTGCCGCAGACCGATACAGCGGTCGCTGGCTCCAAATTGAAAGGCCTTTGTTTTGTTGTGGTTTCTTCTGTTTTGTTGTGTTCTGTTTGTCGTGCGGGTGAGGGGAGTCTGGGGGCAATTACATCTTGCCACAGACCGATAGAGCGGTCGCTGGGGGGGGGGGGACCTGTTGGCCGATAGGGCGGCCACAGGCAAGAGTGATGGAAAAGGCGTTTTGTTTTGTTTTGTTTTGTTTTGTAGTGTTTTATTTTGTTGTGTTCTGTTTTAACTTCAGATGAAAGTGCTGTAAGTATGTGGACGTCCGTGAGAATGGGAGATTGTGAGTGACTGCTGTGTGGTGATCATAAGATTGTGAGTGACTGCTGTGTGGTGATCATAAGATTGTGAGTGCTTGCTGTGTGGTGATCATAAGATTGTGAGTGACTGCTGTGTGGTGATCGTGTTAAGCGAGTGTTTTACAGAAACAAGATGGGTAATACTCAGAAAGGGGTGTTAAAAAAGAGCCCTCTCGGCTGTATACTCGCCCATTGGCGGGATATTGCAGGGAGCGGAGGCACGGAAAGCAAAAGGACTCTTGTAAAATATTGCAATCAGTGGTGGCCGCTGTATAAGCTGGAGGATGGTGCTAAATGGCCGCTTAATGGAACACTGGACTATAACACTTTGTTACAACTTATGTTGTTTTTAAGGAGAGAAGGAAAATGGGATGAGGTATCATACGCGGATATGTTTTTCACTTTGCGGAATCACCCAGAATGGCAAAGGGACTGTGGGTTAGTACCCCCACAGGACCCTATGGTGCTCGCACTTGAACGAGAAAGTAAGGAAAGTAGGGGTAAGCTAAAGAGGTGCTGCTCATCATGTAGCATTGGACAGAGATGTACGAAGGTAGATAAGGTTCACCAAACCTCAGAACAAGATGATGATTTGTTTAAACCTCCCCCCCGATCACAGAATCAGGATGCCAACTCGGAAGGAACGGCGGACTCTCCCAATAGCCCGGTATCCGCCCACACTAGACAAAAAACAGCAACAAGTATTTTACAGGCACCCCTTCGGAAAGCCGTGGGGCCGGAAGGTGGTACAATGTTGGTTAGGGTACCCTTCACCACCGCTGATTTGGAAGCATGGAGAGGAATTGCGAAAAACTATAGATGTGATCCACATGATGTAGCTAAACACTTCCAATTTATTATAAAACAGCACAACCCCGATTGGAGTGATATACAGTTACTATTAGAATATATGACTGAAACAGAGAAACAATTGATTCTAAAAACAGCAGGAGACTTGGCGGAGGATCATTATAAGATTACCGGGGGAGACGTTAAGGAATATTTTCCCCTCCAAGACCCGAAATGGGAACCAAATAGATCGGCACATATGGAAATGTTACGGGCGTATCGGGAATGGATCGCAAAGGGGATAGAAAGAGCGATCCCTAAAACTATAAATTGGTCAGCGTTATATGCAGTGAAACAGGGTCCTTCCGAGTCCCCATCCGAATTCTTGGATCGACTGAGAGATGTAATGCGCCGTAATACATCATTGGACCCGGGGTCAGAGGTAGGAATACAGCAACTGGTTTCCTTGTTCATGGGCCAATCTACAGGAGACATAAGGCGAAAACTTCAGAAGCTGCGTCCTACGGAAAGTAGGAATCTGGAGGTATTGTTAGAGGAGGCGTGGAAAGTGTTTAGCAACAGGGAAGAAGAATGTCGACAAGGACAGATGAAGTTGATGGCCACTCTGGTTCAGAGACCGGCCAGGCAACGACCGCGGCTGGGGCGGGATCAGTGTGCTTTGTGTAAGGGCTTCGGGCATTGGAGAAAGGAATGTCCGAAGAATAGGAGGAAGAATGGGAAGGCTTCAATGAATGTAAAAATAGCAAATGTAACAGAGGACTGACGGGGACCTGGGGGATCTACCCTGGTGGATCCACTGGTTAAACTTAAGCTGGGGAGAGAACAAGAAGAAGTAGAATTTTTGGTAGACACAGGAGCAACGTACTTGGTTTTGAATCAAGCTTTAATACCACTGGGGGACGACTATGTTATGGTAAAGGGAGCGACCGGCCAATCTGAAAAGGCGTATTTTTGTAAACCTTTAGAATATAAATTGGGAAAGCAATGGGGAATTCATAAATTCCTTTATATGCCTAACTCCCCAAAAGCTCTCCTGGGGAGGGACTTGCTGGAACAACTGGAAGCAAAAATTGTCTTTAAAAAAGGGGAAGTCACCTTGGAGGTAAAAGATCAGCAGTACATTCAAGTGCTGAGTCTAATTCTAACTAGTTTTTCGTCAGGAGGAGAAATTAGTGAGGAAATTTTAGACCAAGTATATCCGGGAGTCTGGGCTACTGATGTACCTGGAAGGGCGAAAAATGCACTACCAATTGAGGTTAGGATCAAGGAAGGTCAACGACCGGTGAGAATTAAACAGTATCCTTTAAAAAGGGAGGATAGGGAAGGAATCCGACCAGTAATAGAAAAATTTTTGCAATTAGGGTTACTAAAAGAATGTGAGTCTGAGTTCAATACCCCTATACTGCCCGTTCGGAAACCTGATGGGTCGTATAGGGTGGTTCAGGACTTACGGGCTGTGAATAGAATAGTTGAAGATCTCCACCCAGTAGTAGCAAACCCTTATACCCTGTTAACTGTATTAACACCAGAGTTGATTTGGTTTACTGTCTTAGATTTGAAGGACGCCTTCTTTTGCCTTCCTCTCCATAAAGCCAGCCAAAAATTGTTTGCATTTGAATGGGAAAATCCTAAAACTGGTCGAAAGACCCAGCTCACCTGGACGGTGTTGCCACAAGGGTTCAAGAATAGCCCTACCCTTTTTGGCAACCAGCTTGCAAAGGACTTGGAATCCTGGGAAGCTCCATCCGAAAAAGGAAAACTATTGCAATACGTGGACGACATTTTGATCGCTACTGAGACAGAAGAGGACTGTGCAACGTGGACGGTGAGCTTGTTAAATTTTTTAGGACTACGGGGGTATCGGGTCTCTAAGAAGAAAGCCCAGGTGATACAATGCAAAGTAAACTACCTGGGCTATGAGATCACTGCGGGGCAAAGAACTTTGGGACAGTCCCGTAAGGAGGCCATATGTCAAACCCCGAAACCTCAGACAGTAAAAGAATTAAGAACCTTCTTGGGAATGACGGGGTGGTGCAGGTTATGGATCTATAATTATGGACTGCTTGTTAAGCCCCTGTATGCGCTAACGAACACCAAACAGACGCACCTCGAATGGGATAAGGAGGCTGAGCGAGCCTTCGATTCACTGAAGAAGGCTTTGATGTCGGCCCCGGCTCTAGGACTTCCAGATGTGAGTAAACCGTTTCTTCTCTTTTCTCATGAGAAGCAGGGCATTGCCCTGGGAATACTGGCACAAGACCTAGGTCCATACCGACGAGCTGTCGCCTACCTCTCTAAACAACTAGATGCGACTGCAAAAGGGTGGCCTGGGTGTCTGCGAGCGGTGGCTGCCCTGATACTGAACATACAGGAAGCTCGGAAGTTCACTCTGGGCCAGAAAATGACTGTCTATGTGTCACATACAGTAGTCGGCAGTCCTGGAAGCAAAGGGAGGGCATTGGCTCTCCCCACAAAGATTTCTGAGATACCAAGCTGCACTAGTAGAACAAGATGATGTACAGATAATAGTCACTAATATTGTCAACCCAGCTTCTTTCCTCAGCGGTAACGTGGGGGAACCAGTGCACCATGACTGTCTGGAAACAATTGAGGCAACATACTCAAGTCGCCCTGACCTGAAGGAAAGCCCCATGAAGGATGAGGAGAACTGGTTCACAGACGGAAGCAGTTACGTCCTGAACGGTAATCGACACGCGGGGTATGCCGTTACCACCAGTCAAAAGGTAATAGAATCAGGACCTCTGCCTGCAAATACTTCTGCACAAAAGGCAGAAATAATCGCTCTAACTCGAGCCCTGGAACTGGCCATGGGTAAGATCATAAACATATACACGGACTCCAAATACGCTTTCGGACTTGTGCACGCACATGGAGCAATTTGGAAAGAAAGAGGACTATTGAACTCCCAAGGGAAAAACATCAAACATGCGGAGGAAATTTTTAAACTATTAGAAGCTGTTCAACTTCCTGAGAAGGTGGTGATTATGCATATTAAAGCACACCAAAAGGTGAACTCTGAATTGGAAAAAGGAAACGAGCTGGCGGATAGGGAGGCAAAACGGGCTGCCAAAATAGAGATAAAGATGGAAGGAGCACTTATTCCCGATAGGCAAATTTCCCTGGAAAGTAAACCAGAATATACCAGGGAGGATCAGAAACTTATTGCAGATCTGGAAGGGACATATAACAAGGAAGGGTGGGCTTATACCCCACAGGGGAAGCTAATTATCCCCTCTCGTTTACTATGGCATTTCACACGAGAGGAGCATAGAAAGAGACACTGGGGAGCAGAAGCTTTGTATAGTCATTTGATAAAAGAGATTGTAGCCAGAAATTTGTACACCACGGTAAGGCAGGTGACTCGACAATGCGACATCTGCCTCCGGACTAATCCCAAAAACGCTCCCAAACTAGAAATGGGTCAAATTGGGAAGGGCAACGGGCCTGGGCAACAGTGGCAAGTAGATTTTACGGAATTACCAAGAAAAGGGGGGTATCGATATTTGTTGGTACTGACTGATACCTTTTCAGGCTGGCCAGAAGCATTCCCTACTAGAACAGCTAAGGCTCAGGAGGTAACTAAAGTACTGATACAAGAAATAATACCACGATTTGGGGTTCCGGCAATCATATCCTCAGATAGAGGACCACACTTTGTCTCAAAAGTAGTACAACAAATTAGCCACCATTTGGGTATAGATTGGCAGCTTCATACCCCGTACCGCCCTCAGTCAAGCGGTCAAGTGGAAAAGATGAACCACTTAATCAAACAGCAAATTGTAAAATTGGGGCAAGAAGCAAACCTGACATGGCCTCAGTCCTTGCCCTTGGCCCTTTTACGCATACGGACAAGGCCAAGGGCAAGGGAAGGGCTAAGCCCCTTTGAAATTTTATATGGACAACCATACGGGGTACAAAAAGGAATATCCACACAAATTGGAGATGAAATTATGAGCTCCTACATGGTGGCAGTTAGGGAAGCAACTCAATAAGATCAGAAAACATGTAATTGGTACTCAAGGTAGAGGGCTGGATGGACCTGTACATGATATACAACCTGGGGACTATGTGTATGTTAAGTCTCTTCCAGAAAAAATCTTGGAGCCACAGTGGGAAGGGCCATTCCAGGTGCTGCTCACGACGTTCACAGCCATCAAGATTAAGGAATACTCGGCCTGGATACATCACACCCGAGTGAAGAAAGCCCATAAATCCCCATGGAAAGTTACCCAAGTTCGGCCAGGAAGATTATGCTTCTCACGATAAGTCTGATAATCATTTTTCCTCTAATGCATAGTCGAAGGTTCAGTGAATGGCCATGGTCCCAGGCTTACATTGGGCATACTAATAAGACTAGAAATGTGAGCAACCACACGTTGGCTACTATAGTTATGCAGGGGACAAATGTGCTCACAAAAGAAGAATGGAATGCCTATCCAGGAGAACCACAATTGCAGGGAACATTGGGACAAGAAATTAAAATAGGATGCAGAGCATTTAATAGCTCTACTTACTGGGCAGGAAAACAAATTACGGTAAGACCATATAAAGCTGGAAGAACCCCTTTAGCAACCCAATCCTGTGACTGTGAAAAAACAAATTCAGACTGTTGGTATAATTCTACTCTTAACCAATCAATTTCCGTAGTATGTCTCTGGGTCAAGTGGCCAGTTGGATCCCAGCCGCTATTGGGATTATCCTTCAGATTTCATATAATAATAAACAACGCAACAACAACACCAACAACTGAGAAGACAACCAGCACAACAACAACAGCGCCAGACACAACTCAAACAACTCAACCCCAAACAAAACCAGGGCCTAAGATTTATGAAGTTGGCCCATATATGATTAGGAATGTGGGCCAACAACAATTATTATTTAACCCAGATTGGTCTCTTAAGCATGTCGAATTGATAATACAGACTAATATCTCCGAAATCCAACCAGCCTGTCTTCCTTTCGTAGAAACATCTTTCAAGGGCTGGACGAGGTGGTCACAAAAACAAATGCACCTTGGGAGCAGAACAAAAAGAGATTTAACTGGGGTATTAGGAACAGGATTGGGAGTTTTGAATGGAATCGATTCAGAAGTATTGATGAACAGGTTGGCCACTGCAACAAGTGATTTAACAAGGCTAAAGCAGCCTCTACAGTCATCTTTATTGGCATTGGGAACTAGTCAATGGCAAGTCTCAAAAGTATTGCCAATGTGGGAAAAGAATGAGGACCAAGATCACAGACTAATACTAGATGCACTTAGTATGGCCCAGAATAATGTGTCTTTAGCTTTTAGTTGTATACAAGCACAGTTATGGCTGCAGGCAACCGCTGCCTTGATTATAAGGGAAGGGAACGAAGGAATTTTTCCAGTTGAAATCCGAAAGGCTGTTTGGGACAAAGCTACCAATTTTGAAAGGAGATTCCAATCTTGGTGGACTATGGTGAATTTTACCTATGACCCCACTACTAACATGGCTACTGCCTTTGTGCTCACTATACGTAATGCCACAGTTTATGTAATCCATCCCATCATTGCATTAGGGTTGAATTATGAGGAAACAGTGCTCTATCCTTCAGAGCATAGAGCATGGGCCCGGAAGGTGAATGAGAAATGGCAGACTGTAAATGTGGAATCTTGTATTACCCGGGAACAACAGGGGTTCATCTGTGAAAGCAATACAATTGACGCCCGAGACATATGCCTTGACACTGAGCAAAGTATCTGCCACTTCGAAATTCACCCAGATAATAGTAAGAAAACTGTGATTGTATATGCTGGTCAAGGCTGTATATGTTTAAGAACCGCTTGTGTACTCGTAGAGATAGATCCTGACAATGTAACTTTGTCTACTGGGAATCATTCTAATTTCTGTATTTGTAACTTTGTTAAGATTACTGGGTGTGACTTTATATATTGGGCACCAGTGGTTTCTCACCAGTTGATAAAATCTAACGTTACAGGGTATCTCGAGCTATCACCTACACCTATTGGAATGAACCTTACATTAGTAAGGCAGTTAATTAAACACCAAGACCTGTTAGGGATCTTGAGAGAAATTCAGAAAAACGGAGAGAAAACTTTAATCACTATTCACCATGATACAAAAGAAATAAGCAGGGTCTTGCAAAGAGTAAAACAAGATGCAAGTCATAACTGGTGGGATACTCTTTTCGGCTGGTCGCCTTCTGCAACTGGGATCCTTAATATTATGATACACCCCATTGTGATCCTACTAGGTAGTATAGCAATTTTATTAGTATTAACCATCATGTTATATCTATGGGTCTGGAGAATGTTTAAAAGGATAACTGCTATACATGAGGCTTTATACTACTCAGGAAAATTGCTGAAGTAAAAGAATTTACTTAGTATGATAAGAAAGGGGGGATTGATACAGGGCCTAGATAGGAACAGGGGATGTAAGGGTTAATGTGGGAATAGCAAGAAGGGGATGAGGAGGGAAATAGTCGAGATAAGAGTTTGCCTAGCTTGTACAGAGGTGTTTGTGTTGCTCGACCACTATCTCCTGTTCAAGTAAAAAGCCTCCTCCACCCCTGAGTAAGTGTTTCTGTTGATGGACCACTATCTCCTGTTTAAGTAAAAAGCCTCCTCCACCCCTGAGTAAGCGAAGATTACCCCACAACGGCACAAACCTGCTCTGCGGGTCCAGGGGGGTGACAGAGACTGCGCAGACTCAACTGGGAGGAGATCATGGAAATGCTAATTTTAATACGAAGCGGGGATAGGTGATGCATATGTATAGGCGTATTGCGAAATATTATGAATATGTAATCATTTGCTCTATAAATCTAAGGCAATGGTGCCACATGGGAGCACATATTTGGAGGAGTGATCCCCTATGTGCCCAGCGCTGAATAAACATACCTACTTTACAATCTACCAGATTGTGGAGTCTGTTTTCCGCACGTCAATGTTAAGTTTTCCCTGAAAAACCCAAGAGGTTAACAAATTTTAGCCTTGTTATACTGGTGATTCAGTTCCTCCTGCTCTTCAAATACCCAAAATGGCTTCGTTGCTGCAACTGGCTTCTGAGTACGGATTCAATCTACATCCTTAGGAGGAGCCCAGCTAATGGGAGAAGTGATTCCATAGTGCCTGTGAGGCTGCTTCTGCAGCCTAGAAATACTGAGGGAGAAATAAAATACTGAACACTTCACAAAAGGGAAAAAAAAAAAAAAAAAAAAGAAAAAAGAAAAAAAGAGAACTCACTGGAAAACACCTTTCAGCTTACAGGTTTACCAAATCAACTTCTGCTTTTACGCGGCATTAATATAAACGAGAGAAAAAAAAAAAAAAAAAGAAAAAAAAAGTACTGCAAGTCCTGCTTATGATTTGTAGGTAACTTGACCTAACTTTGAAATCCAACTAGTTTTTTAAAACACATTTGTGGATCTAAGGAAAGAATCAAGTAGCTACCATCTTAATACAACTTGTCTGCGTTGCTCTAGACAGTTAGAGCTGATCACCAGGAAATGAAAGGGTTTGAAATCCACTAAGGGTGATACTACACACAGCAGACGTTTAGGACACATTTCTGTTTCATATCAGTTTTCATTTAAGGATATTCCCATCACCTTCCCGCTAACATTAAACAAGACAATTTAACATTGGCTTCTTTTAGTTAAATGTATTTATGCATGTCTTAAATCTAAAGAAAAGACATCACTGCGGCTTGGTTTCTCCTTCCTTGCCTCCATGGACAGCAACTAATCCAGGAAAACCAAAATCTGTTCACCCATGTAAATTAAAACTGCACAGCCCAAACACCATTCAATTTTCATATTATTCCTTAATTAAAGGCACAAAGGGGAAGGTCTGGGACTACTGAATTGCTGAGGTTCGTCTCTGCAAGCCCGCTGCCATCATCACAGCGACCAAAAACTCTTCAAACAAAAAACCACTTGCTCGAGTTCCGCAACAGGAATTTGAAGAAGGAGCACAACCCCAAGCAGCCCGGATGGAGCTGTGGGGCTCCTGGCTGCAATTGGGGAGCAGGAGCCGCCCCGGGCGCGGGGAAGCAGCCCCGACCCCCCCGAGCTGGGATTTTCAGCGCCAACTCCCAGCGCTGCGCAGGCCCCCGCTGCCTCTTGCCCCAAGAACGAGGCCCCAGCCGAGCAGCTCGGGGCTGCCCCCCCAGCCGTCCCTCGGGGCGGCCAAATCAGCTCCTCGAGGGGCTTCGGCCGGGACCCCGGGCTGGGGCCTGGGGCTGGCAGGGAAAGGGCCGGGACCCCCCCGGCTCGCAGCCCCCCCGGGCTCGGGGCTCCCCCAGCCCTTGCCGGCAGCTCCCAGCCCCCCCCGCCAGTCCCCCCAGCACCCACCGCCCCACTCCCCAGCCCCGGGGCCTCCCGCAGCCCCCCCCCGCCCCACTCCTCGGCCCCCCGAGGGGCTCCGAGCCTTTCCCCAGCCCCACTCCCCGGCACCACCGGGGCCCACCCCCCGCTCTCGGGCTCCCCGGGGGGCCACAGCTCCCCCCAGCCCCCCTCCCCAGATGCTCACAGCCCCCCCAAGGCATGGAGCCCCCCCCAGCCCCACTCCCCAGGCTCAGCATCTCCGCCCCCACCGCCCCCCACCGCTCCACCGCCAGGGGGCGGGCCCGCCGCACGTCCCGGCCCCGCCCCCTCAGCAGCCAATCAGTGTGCGGCTCCCCCGGCCTCCCGCGCGGGTCATGCTGGGAGTTGTAGTCCCGTCCCTGGGGTGCGCACATGCGCACGGCGCCCGGTGAGGGGGGCGGGGGTGCAGGGGGCCGCGTGCAACAGGGGTGCGTGTGCAGGGTCCTCGTGCAAGGCGGGGGTGTCACCTCCCTTCCCCGTGTGATTTTACGCCCCGTGTCGCCGCTCGGGGCACGCCGGGCAGTTCACCTCTGTGCTGAGCGGTGCTGGGGGGGAAGTTCATTAGAGCACATGGATTTGTAGGATGGAAATGACGGATCAGCTCAGCTCAGAAAATCAAGGGGAGCTGGAGGGAGCG